GCCCTAGGATACAACGCATCCTCCTCAACGGTCAACTCATACTCGGGAACATCCTCCTGCGGTGGCTCTTGCTGAAACCTGGAATATACCACCCTAGGCGGGGGCGACGCAAAATCACTATCGCCATCAGATACTCCAGAAAGACCCGCATCCGATTGTGCGCACCTAGACGTTTTAGCTGCAAAAAGAACAAACACAAACAAGCATATGACCCACCAACCATTCCAAACTAAAAATTAAAATGACAACAAAGGACACATACTACGTGCCATATAAACACTGAACTTCGCCACACCCCTCAAGCAGCAGTGCACACATATGCAGTCAGCAGTGCACCCAGCGGATGAAAAACAAAAACGCATACCCACCATTTATTTAAAATTTGCAGACTGCACAAAACATATTTGCAGTGCACACATATCCAGTAAGCAGTGCACCCACAAGAGGGAAAAAAAAAAAAACTTCACCATATTTTATTTAAAATTTGCAGACTGCACAAATCATATTTCACTTATCTCATTCACCAAATATAACAAATCAAGATAATGGATATGTTCCATGGCTGCATTTTCTTGTTTTCTACCACCCTCATAACTATAACCAATATAGCTATCATGAAAAATATAAGCATCATGTTTAATTTTGTTAACACAATTAACTTCAAACAAAAGATATAAATACAAATCCACACACAAACCCCCAAATACAAAATTTAATAGCACTGAGTGGAGAAATGAGAACTGAGAAATCCTCAATAAACAAGCTTTTCTGTTTTTATTTTACCAGCTTTGCGACTATATTTCAAACTGCATACGCTGAATTCAGCCCTTACTTGTATCAATTAACTCATAATCATTTCACCGTCAAACTTTAAAAAATATAAATTACTTGATGAAAATTTTTGTTAGTAATTTCTCCCCTCAGCCGGTCACAATTCCACACACAAATCCCCAAATACTCAATTAAATACCACTGTTATAAGAGTTCACAATATAAAAAACGGAAAACCTTATTTGATCAACACAATACCACACACAAACCCCCAATTAACCTTATTTGATCAACACAATACCACACACAAACCCCCAATTACTCAATTTAATAGCACTCTAATAAGAGTTCACACTATAAAAATTCTACAAATTAAACAAGGTAACATGCTTCCTTTCCCGAATCAGGATTCTCAATTAAATACCACTGTAATAAGAGTCCACAACATAAAAATGGAAAACCTTATTTGATCAACACAATACCACACACAAACCCTCAATTACTCAATTTAATAGCACTGTAATACGAGTTCACAATATAAAAATTCTACAAACACAAGGATAAGGTAATATGCTTCCTTTCACAAATCAGTACATGCCATAACAGATTAAGAAAGAAAACCATACTTCATCAATGTCCGATTACCGCCCAACTAACACCCATCCCCCTGCGCCAACCACCACCCTCGGGAAAACAGGGGAACCGAAATTAGGGCCTAATTTCCGCTAAGATTAAGCCCCAAACCGTAAAAAGTTTATAAAATTTTTTTAAAAAAAAACAAAAAAAAAAAAAAACCCTACCAGTGTCGGCGCCGCCAATATCCCCACCCCGCCGTGCACCACCCAAACCAGCACCCTAGCAACCACACACCCCCCAAATTGGTCTGGAACCGCACATGCAAAACACCCCACCCCCGACGTTGCGAAAAAAAATAAAAAAGCAAACGGAAAAGTGCGATCAGTGTTACCTCGACCTACGCCATCAGACGGTGTTCCCCGGCGCTTGGCACCACCGCGATCCCTCCCGGCGACCATCTCCGGCTGCTGATGACGAAGGCGTGGAAGTGAGCTCGGGACTACACTGAAACGCGAGAGTGAACGAGAGAGAGAGAACGCTCGAAAAGCTCGTTGGCTAATAAAATTCTAATACAACTGAACCGCCCACCCAAACACAAAATCTCAAAAATACCCCCCTTAAAATATGTCACGCGGCAATTGAAATAACAGCTACCATAATTAATCAAAAACAAATCCTGTACATCCAATATCAAAAACCAACGACCCAGATGAATCCGCACTGTTTTTATTTTAAGCACTGTTTGTATTTGAATATATTCCTATATATATATTATAACTAAAATAAATAAATAAGTAATATATATTATTTATTTATTTATTCGGGGACGGGGCATATTGCCATCCCTAGCGACCGGCGCCTAGGAGGAAAATCGCCACGGTCTAGGGGCACCTAGCGCCTAGGCGGACGCCTAGACCGGTTTTTGCAACAGTGTTATTAAATAATAAAACTTTATAAATGAATTAATCTCATATTTCGTTTTTATATATGAAATTTAATAACATTAATAATTTTTAATAACATAGCATAATTATAATATTTAAATCTTTAATAACATAGCATAATTATGATATTTTTAATAAGTTCAAGGAGAGGTCTAGAATTCCAAGTGTACCGTCGGGGGTAATCCCCAAAAGAAAAAAATATATTAGTAACATATTATCTGTTCTATACTTTCTCAAATTAATGCAACTCAAAAAGTCAATATCTCACCATTGGGGTTCAATTCTGTGACATTCACTCAAAGAGAAGGACATATGTGTCGTTTGAGCACAAGGTGTTTGGCAACATACTACAATGATAATGACGGCAAAAACACAGAAAAAATAGGATAAAATTAAAGGTATAAATAATATAGGGAGTTAATTCCAGCAATGATCCTCCGACTATTGTGATTTTCCAAAATTGGTCCTTGTCTTTTAATTTGGACGAAAAAGACCCTTGACTATCAGATTTGTTCCAATATTGGACCTTCCGTTAAGTTTCAGTTAATTAGGCGTTAGTGTAGGGGCTAATAATGTCATTTCCTTAGCTTGATTTCTTCTTCCTAATGTCTAAGAGTATTTGTACGTATTACACACAGAGTAGCAAAAAGAAAACTCCATTGTTTCTCACCTAGCTTGTTCCAATATGCATTATCACCTCTTTCCTCCATCTATATAAACTCACCTCATATCTCTAATTCCTTTACTACATTGCTCTTCACACTCTTAAGTCAGGTTTCCCCAGACTAATTGAGAAAGCTCTCTTCACCACCCTTCTCCTGACTTCCATTTCTTCTGTCCTTGTTTCTTCCCCTTCCAGTTCGAGGTTGGCGGCAACAAGTTGGGAAAAACTTACTGGAAACGAGTCTAAGACTTTCAACGAATGGGCAATTCAAAACCAATTTCGAATTGGAGATACCCTTTTGTCAGTTTCTATACATCTAAGCTAAGATATTTGACATAAGACAAAATGTTATGTTTAATGTTCCAAATGACATGAGCTATGCTGATTATACAAACTGTGATGTTTCAAATTCAATTGTTAAATTTGATGATGGAGAGACAATTTTCCAGTTCAGGCGCTCTGGTTTGTTTTTCTTCATTAGCGGGCGGCAAGGCCACTGCAAGATGGCCAGAAACTGACTGTCCATGTGTTGCACCCTTTTGAGGTTGTGTCTGCTGCATCACTTGCATGGCCTGCAACCTCCCCTGCAGCATCCCGGGGTGGCGACGAATGGGACCCCCACAACTTAGGACCGCCCCTGGGACACAATTCTACTTCCAAGCTCTCTATTGTTTTTTACTTCATTACTGCCCTGGGAGTTGTTTCTCTATTTGCTCATGTAGTGTAGGTTCAGTTTTGTTTGATTAGTCTTCTTTAGTTTGTTTCAGAAATTTTTATGTGTCACTTTGGCTTCGTAGTTCATTCAATTCTTTCTGGGTAGTTTTTATTTACAGGGCATTTGATATTGAACAATGAATCTATGTGTTGGTGCTTTGTTTTATTGATGATAATAAATTTATGTTTCTTATGCAATTGCGGGATTGATTGCACACAATGACTGTATTTTAGCTACTTACATGGAAGAATTGCATTCACAGCGCTGTAGCTTTTAGAAGCCAAGAATGACAGAACAAAGAACATGATTTAGGTACCAAACCTTGGGTATTCCCATGGTGTTGTTCTCCAACCTTTTACATTGTACAATGTTTCAAATCAAGTATAACATATCTTAGAATGAAAACAAAAAATTCTATTACAAAACAAAGGAGGGATTATATATACAACTCTGGGCAAAAGTAGTGTTTTTTATTTTATTTTTTATTTTATTTTTATTTTTTTTATCTTCTATCATTTCCTCTTATTTATTAGCCTTCGAAACTTCACATACACCTTTGGTTCGGATGTCTTCGGCCTGATCTGCAAATAAGACTTTCGAAAGGGGTGAACTACAAATTTGTCTGTATACTTCATAGTTTGCAGCATGTGTGCAACCACCATCCAGAAGTCTTGAGAGAGGATGCAAAACTGATATTGGATCATAGCTCCTCCCTAAAGTTTCCATCGTGTTAACGAACGTGGTTGCCATTTCTGTTTTGCTGAACTGAACAAAGGCAGCAGTTTTATCTATGAAGTCTGGGGAAACCTGATGCGAGAAAAGCCATTTTTGTCTCTTCTGGGTTGTGAAGAACTTTGGACTCTGAAGAGCAATGTAGTAAAGGAATGAGAGATATGAGGTGAGTTTACATAGATGGATGAAAGATGTGATAATGCATACTGGAACAAGCTAGGTAAGAAACAATGGAGTTTTCTTTTTGCTACTCTGCGTGTAATACATACATATACTCTTAGGCATTAGGAAGAAGAAAGAAAGCTAAGGAAATGACATTATTAGCCCAAATACTAACGCCTAACTAACTGAACCTTAACGGAAGGACTAATGCTGGAACAAATCTGATAGTCAAGGATCTTTTGCGTCCAAATTAAAAGACGAGGACCAATTTTAAAAAATCACAATAATCGAAGAACCTTTGCTGGAATTAACTCTAATATAGGGGTCAAATTGACATTTTTCATAATAAAATACTCCGTACAAAATAAGAACTTTCTTCCCTTGATTATTTGTATTCGTAAAACCCAGCGTCGCCTCCGCTGCAGCCCGCTGGAGCTTCTGTAAAACCCCAAGAGAGAGAGAGAGATAGAACTCCATCTACCCGCGTTGCAGCCTGCAAGAGAGATAGATAGGTAGAATGAAGATAGAAGAAGTGCAATCGACAACAAAGAAGCAGAGAATAGCAACTCATACTCACATTAAAGGTCTTGGCCTTGAGGTAAACTCCCTGCTCTTCATTTTCACCATTCCTTCTTCCTCCATATTCTCAACGTTTTTTCTCTTTTATTCCAACCTTTAGAATACCTGCGGTGAATACACAGTTAGGTTTTTGTTCCTCTCTCTCTCCCTGCGTTTAGGGTTTTGTCTGTTTGTATTATGCAACTTGTTTGTGAAGTTAAGCACTTCAATGCTGTATTCTTCTTCCCCCATTTTGCTTGCTGCAGTATTAAAAAGAAGGAACAGTTTTTCATGTTACGTTTTCAGTTCTCTTCTACCCTGTAAATGGGTTTGCTGCAATTTAACTTTTTATGGCTAATTTGGACGATAATACATTATGTTGCTTTACAGCCCAATGGAAAAGCAATACCTTTGGCAGCTGGCTTTGTGGGTCAGGCTTCGGCCAGAGAAGCTGCAGGCCTTGTTGTTGATATGATTCGCCAGAAGAAGATGGCTGGTCGGGCTCTACTGCTTGCTGGACCTCCTGGTACTGGGAAAACAGCACTTGCCCTGGGTATTTCACAAGAACTTGGCAGCAAGGTACCTTATTGGAGTGTTTACAATTCGATTGTGGCTTTTAGTTGGTTATGCTTGTGATTGTTTGATATTATGTATTTCATATTCATAGCTCATTGATTGGGAAAAGCCTTTTTTGTATCTTCAATCTTTATTGTGAAATTCTGTTGGATTTATTTATTGTATTTGGTTCATAATGTACCTTCTATTTTGATGATTATTGTTTTTTCTTGATCTGTACCCTGCAGGTACCATTTTGCCCAATGGTTGGATCTGAAGTATACTCATCAGAAGTGAAGAAAACTGAGGTTTTGATGGAAAATTTTAGACGAGCGATTGGTCTAAGAATGAAGGAAAACAAGGAAGTTTATGAAGGAGAGGCAAGCTACCCATTTACAACCTATATTCTATCCCTAGATTGTCTTGCTAAGCCCATGAGGTTTGACTGATGTTATCCAATTTGTCATCTTATATGAAGCTGTTTTTTTAATAGGTTACTGAACTGTCTCCAGAGGAGATTGAGAGTGTCACAGGTGGATATGGTAAAAGCATTAGCCATGTTATTATTGGGTTAAAAACTGTCAAAGGGACCAAGCAATTGAAGCTTGACCCAACCATATATGATGCCCTAATTAAAGAAAAGGTTAGTGCTTCCAACAGCTTTGTGATTTGGATTAGTGGTTTTTTTCTTATTTTTTTTATTTTTTCATAATGTTCAATTGAACTTCTATTTAAGTTTTGAAGCATGTTAATATGCAAGTATTTATTCAGATCTATTCATGTCATAGTGTAGAGAGTTGGCACTTATAATGAAAATTCCTGCGCATTTATATATTGCAGGTTGCACTTTTATGCCTAAAACCTTTTGGTATTTTGTAATACCTTTTACTAGTGAGCTTCATGTTTTGAATTGCAGGTAGCTGTTGGTGATGTCATATACATTGAAGCAAATAGTGGAGCTGTTAAAAGAGTTGGGAGAAGTGATGCCTTTAATACAGAATATGACCTTGAGGCAGAAGAGTACGTTCCACTTCCTAAAGGAGAAGTTCACAAGAAGAAGGAGATAGTGCAGGTTAGTCACCATCACATATGCTATTGTAAGACTACGAATTGGAGATTGGTAGATTAATGTCTCACTTCCAGTTCAGATGTTTTAATACTATATTGTATGTACTATTATACTGTGAATCCAATAGGATATTAAATATTATGAGTGGTAGCCCATATTTCCATTTTACAAACACATTTCTTTGGTACATCAGATGGGAGTTGATCCATTGTACTAGTGACCAAGGGGCATTTCCTTAAATTTTCATGCACACATCTGCTAGGAATTCAGTCCTTTGATCTTAATGAATACAAGATGTTATTTTGAGTCTTGACATAGAAAGCAGTCCAGAGATCAAAGAATTTGCCTTGTGATTCAAACTGAAAACTACCTTTACATTGAACTTAATTTGTACTTTTTCTACATACTGATCTTTTCATCTTTCCATTTACCTATTGATGGTGTGTAGGATTAGTGGTTTAACACAACCATTCAATATTTAATGCTTTATTCAAAATGAGGGGAATTAAGGGCTAGATGATTAAATACAAATAGAGATGGAAAATATTTGAGCAGCAAGGTGCTTTTTAATTGTATTTCCTTGAATGTAGGGAGTACCTTGAGTCTTGGCAAAAGGTTAGGAAAATTGCTAGGATATTCTATGAATGTTCTGAAACCATTCCAAGGAGGTAGAGGAGGAACTATTTATTCAGTTAGATGGTTCCAAGTAGACTCCAAATGGATAGGCAAAGTATAAAAAATGTGTCCTGAAGTTGTTTAGTTGATACAGATCTTGGTGCCATGGGCGGAGACAATGGGGTTTCTTCTCTCAAGCACGTACTAGACTATTTTCTCCTAGTGTGATTTTCTGAGTTGAGATCTCAACGGGTTTATAATGGGCCTAACTTAGCAATGGGTCTTTGGGCTGAGAGATGAACATCTAGTTTTTTTTTTTTTGTTAACTACAATCTAACCTATTACCTATCTATAGTATCTGTTCATGATTATGCCAACATCCTTGATGAGACTCTAACCTGTGACCTTCCGTTTGGAATGGTAACAATGATGCCATTAGACCACAAGATACTTGGCATGAACATCTAGTTAATTGTTGAATTATAGGAAACCCTAGTTCTAGTCCTAGTTTGTGTAGGCTTGATTTCTTATTAGTAGGAGTGGGCTTAACATAATGTAAATATTACAGAGTATTATAGAATCTTTGTATAGTACAAGTGTACAACATTCAAAAACATGGAAAGACAACCTATTGTAGATATTATTATAGAATCATATATTTTCTCTATTTTTTCTATTCTCTCGTTGGCTTCTCACATATTTTTCTTTTGCCTAATTGGTGGGTGATTTCTGTTCACCACTCACCATGTCTTTCAATCCTCAAATTCAACATGGTATAAGAGCCTATGTATCCTAAGCTAGTTTTTTCTTCTAATTTTCTGAAGATTAATCTAGTTTTTGGCGAAAGGATCTTAACTACCCTCTCAATTCCAACCTTTCCGGTGATTGCCTTTACAAACTAACACCACTGTATTGTTCAGGACTTCATAGCAATCCGTTGCTGAGTTGCCGAAGACCTCCACATGTGCACATCCACCAGCGATGACTCTTCCCATTGAAAATTTTTAGATCCTTGTTTTGCCATTCTTCAGTCTTTTTTGTGAGATTTGAAAACTTTTTGGGTTCACTGTAGAATTGCTTTCCTAAGGGTGTTCAAGTTTGGTATTATTGTGTTTATTTCCTTATTTTCAGTGTGCCATATTTATTCCCCGAGGGTGTTCAATTTCAGCACTACTATATTTTTATTTTCAAAGGCTTTTTATTATTTCTCAAGTGTCAAGGGAGTGAATGACCATCAACAACCAATAAATATAGGATCTTTGTATAGTTCAACATATAGAATCACATAAAGACAATCTATTGCAACCTATTATTATTATTATTATTATTATTATTATTATTATTATTATTATATTATTATTATTATTATTATTATTATTATAGAATCAAATATTTTCACTATTCTTTCTTTCTTTGGTTTCTCACACTTCTGCCTAGGTCTTTCAATCCCTCAAGTTGAACATTAATCATAACTTTAATCTTATTGGGCCTAGCCTTGGATCACTACCCAAAACCTATCAATTCCCTTTCATCTTTATACGATTGCTAGATTGTGAAGTTTTAATCTGGTTTTGATGTAAACATGGTTTCGTGCTACGATAATACTTCTCTGAAGTGCAATGTACCTTAGCACCTCTCTTTGGTTTTAGATAATGTGTTATGTGTATCGTTTTTATCCCATTCTAATGTAGCTTTTGTATCTTATCAGGATGTTACATTGCATGATCTTGATGCTGCAAATGCACGGCCTCAAGGAGGACAAGATATATTGTCCTTAATGGGTCAGATGATGAAACCCAGGAAAACTGAAATTACTGATAAGTTGAGACAAGAAATAAACAAGGTAGTCATATGAATAATGAGAAGGATTCTTGGCATCAATGTTTTTATATTGTTTTTGTCCTTGGAAAATGAACTTGGTTGAGCTTAAAAATGATATACTGATTGAAATAGCAGTTGAAATTTTTTGTTAAACTTTATTTAAAGTGACTATTCAGTATCTTCAAGTACTGTTTATTAGGTATGCTTCTAATTCATGGATTTCTAATCTCTAATTATTTGTACTCGTATGATCTTTTAATAACAGGTTGTAAATCGTTATATTGATGAGGGTGTGGCAGAGCTTGTTCCTGGTGTCTTATTTATTGATGAGGTTGTCCTTACATCTATTCACTTTCTTGAGATACTATAAAGACTGCCATCATTTGCTTTAATTAGAAAAGTATCACTTGGACAGGTACATATGCTGGATATGGAGTGCTTTTCATATCTAAATCGTGCCTTGGAGAGTTCATTATCACCAATTGTGATTTTTGCCACTAATAGAGGAATTTGTAATGTTAGGTATGGAAATTTATGTTCTTTTTCATTTATGTTTGTCATAATCTGATCATATTGAAATGTGTTCTTTTCAATTTAGTTACTCCGTTTTTTATTGATGCATCTGGAGATAACAAATTATAAGGTGGAATTTGTTCATTTGAGAAGGTTTCTTTACAGTTTAGTATATGCTATCCACATCAGCTGGCGTTTTTAGAGCATAGCGTTTCCCTTTTTGAAGGGCTTGATTATATGGTGGCATCAAATTTGTTGGGAATACTATCAGCACTTTGAACATTTAATTGCTCTGGAAAAATCTTAACTGTTGATAATGGATGATTGTCATATTGAATCTAACAAATCATTTCTCTGTAGAGGAACTGATATGGCGAGTCCACATGGTATACCTGTTGACTTGTTAGACCGGTTGGTGATTATTAGAACAGAAACTTATGGTCCAGCTGAGATGATACAGGTTTAGCCCCTACTTTATTTGAATTTGACCCATTGCTTTATACTTCTGGAATACAAAATAATACTTGTTTCGTGGTATGTTTTGCTTGATGCCATGGCAGATTTTAGCTATCCGTGCTCAGGTTGAGGATCTAGGTATTGACGAAGAGAGTTTAGCTTTCCTAGGGGAGATCGGGCAGCAAGCATCCCTGAGGTTTGTTTTATATTTTCTGGTGACTTTTAGCGGGATCAATACTCAATGAATCAATCTTTTAAAGAATTATTCCTTTTTTTAGGCATGCTGTTCAGCTTTTATCACCCGCCAGTATTGTGGCAAAAATGAATGGCCGTGACAAGATCTGCAAGGTATTTAATACAGTAATTCTTTTAAAAGTTCTCAACATCAACTCTTAAGGTCTTGATTATTCAACCTGTAACTTTGGGCAAGTTGAATTAGCCTTAATGCCAGAACGATGGGATTGATCTCATGTAACTTTGTACGACTTTCAGGCGGACCTTGAAGAAGTGAACTCACTTTATCTCGACGCAAAATCTTCAGCAAGGCTTCTTCAGGAGCAGCAGGATCGATACATTTCATAAGGAATGGTCCGTATTTACACTTGCAGGCCAACCTGAATTCCAAAGCATTATAACCTTGGTGCCTCGAGGAGCAGAATGTACTCTACGCATGTCTGCAGATGCTACCACGGGCCAATCATTTCCGCTGATGTAGCCTCGAGATTGTTGGTTTTCATGTTTTCATGCAACTTGTCTGTATTCATTGAGGTGGGGAATTTTATTTTTTGAATCTGAGAGAATTGGTTCTGATTTTGTCTCTAAACCTGCAGAATTGGTACACCTAAGAATTCGGATTTAGGTTAGTTGACTTGGAATCGTCCCTGTGGGGTTCATTTACTAAATCCATATCTCTGTTTTTCAATTTTTAGTTTTTCCATTTCTCTGGAAAAATTGGTTAGAAATTTAAAATTTTGTTGCAAAAGGATTGAAGTGTGGATTTACCGTTCTCCATTTCTCAAAATTTAGAGAGTAGTTACTGGATTTTCTAAATTCTAGAAAAATGGAGAATAATTCTCCAATTGAATCCGTAGAATTTTTCAATTTGGAATAATATTTTTACGATTTTTTTTTTTTTTTCAGTTTTAGTCTTGATCTTTCACTTTTGGTCTCTGACTATTAATTTTTCGTATTTAGTTTTATGACTTTTAAATTTTTATCTTTGACGAGAAATTTAAAATATTTTTGACATTCCTAGTTGAATGTATACTCTTATTTATAATTTTAATTGCATTTTGAAAAGTACTCCCTCTGTCCCATTTTGCATGTCTTACTTTCCTTTTTAGTTTGTCCCAAAATGTTGTCATCTTTTCAAAATTGAACATCACCATCATTCTACTTTTTCCCAAATTACCCTTATGACTTTTGCTTTTATTCCCAAAAGTGAAAAAGTGAAGGGCATAATTGGAAAATACATAACATTTACTTTAATTCCTTAAAAAGCGTGCAAAAAGCAAATGAGACAATCAATTCGGGACGGAGGGAGTATTTATTATTGTACGGTATCATCCAGAAGGACATGAAGGCTTTAAGAAAACAAGAAGCCGCAGACATATGAATTCATGTGTGTGGACCCCATTCAAGGATCAAACCAAGTAATAGGCGACAATACGATGCTACTTTCGTTACGCTTTTGCTTCCTCCTTTTCTTATCTTATACAGTTTAACTACAATTATTTGTTCATTCCCGTTAAACTAGAGTTCTATGAAATATTATTAAATTAATTAGTTTAGATTATAATTATTCTAAAAAGGGCTGAACCTCAACCCTAAAGGCGAGCATTTGGGAGGATGTAAATCATGGCGACTCAACTGAACATGAACCACAGAGGCTAGACACTTTGAGAGGTTGCTCCCACACTGCCGTTGGTGAGACTTGATCCTTGGTCATTATTCTAAAATTTCACCTCTATGACCAGTTGAGCTACCCATGCGGGCAGTTTAGATTATAATTAAGATGAGATCGTTATGTTGTGAGGACGTGCCCACCTTGCAAAGTGGGCACGGTTCCATATCCATAATTTTTATACTGTAAATTCATAATTTATATACTGTAGATCCATAATTTCTATACTGTAGATTCATAAAATTTATACTTTAGATTCATAATTTCTAAACCGTAGATTCATAATTTAAATACAATAGATTCATAATTTCTATACAGTAGATTCATAATTTCTAAACTGTATAGTTATCAATTATGAACATATAATTATCTGATTTGTAAAAACAGAGTTCAACAATTGGAATTTAAAGTATAAATTTTATGAATCCTCATTATAGAAATTATGGATCTACCATATAAAATTATAAATCTACAATATAGAAATCATGAATATGAAACCGTGCCCACCTTGCTCAGAGCATAATTTGCCATTAAGATGGATGATATGTGTAATTTGACCACAAAGGTAATTGAGCTATTAAACGTGGCATACTAAGACGGTTCAATCACCTTATCTTAATCAAAAATCCATTTTAATTTTTAAATGTTTTGAATTCAAACAATTTAAACTTTAAAAAAAAATTCAAACAATTTAAATTTAAATGTTTAAACTTTAAACACAAATATTTGAAAAAGAGTTAATACCCAAAATCGTCCTCGACTATAGTGGTTTTTCTCAATTTCGTCCTAAACGACTTTGGTGACCTAATATCGTCCCAGACTTTTGTGTTTCGCTCAATTTAGTCCCAGACTTTTGTGTTTTTGCTCAATTTAGTCCCTCATTTGTTATTCTGTCCATTTGGTGTTAAATAAATAGACAATTCAGTAATTTTAATATTGGCATCTCTTTACTCATAGACATGTGAACTGCGAAATCCTTTTTTTTTTTTACGAATTACCCCCAGAATTACTCCTAAAACTGCGAATATAAAATTTGATTTGCAGGTTCGGGAGTAATTCTGGGTGTAATTCGTACAAGAAAGAGGAATTTCGTACTTCACAAGTTGAAAGTAAAGAGAGATCAATATTGACATTATTGAATTGTCCTTTTATTTAACACCAATTTGACGGAATAACAAATGGAGGACTAAATTGAGCAAAACACAAAAGTCTGGGACGATATTAGGTCACCAAAGTCGTTTAGGACGAAATTGAGAAAAACCACTATAATCGAGGACGATTTTGGGTATTAACTCATTTGAAAAATGTATCATTGCAATAAATACTAACTTTTACTTTTTTTTGACGGCTCTATTACAATGTAGTATCTGTTCATATACTTTCTCAACCCACTATAAAACACAAAGAACAAATAACACCTCCACTAAAGCTCGAACTCACAACCTTCCAAATAAAAATTCAACCTAGGTACCATTAAACCACATAGTTTTGGTAATACTAACTTTTATTTGAAATATAGAGAGTTGAAAAACGAATATTTTAACCAACACTTTAGCACAATTGGTAGGCGATAATTGTAAGATCGGAGGTTGTGCCATGTTAAAGAGTTTTTGAGTTTGATTTTTCAAGTAAAAGTAAAAGTTAAACATCACAGTTCTGACTTGGGCCAATTTCGATTAGTCTTATAGTGGTAAGAATACTGGCAAATTATTGTATGGACCATGGTCCACACAACTTGTGTGGACCATGAATATATGGTACATTTTTAATATACTAAAGGTACATTATTTGTGTACTGAAGATACATTATTTGATATAATATATATAAAATAATGTACTTTTAGTACTAAAATAATGTACCCTCAAATAATATACTTTTAGTATACAAATAATGTACCTTTAATATATTAAAAATGTACTTTTTATTTATGGTCCACACAATTGTGTGGACCATGGTCCATGCAATAATGATTGAAGGATACCTGATGACATTTTAAAAAAAATGGTATTTGAAATATGTATAATTTACTCTCATCTTTTAAAAGAGGTCGAAAATTCAAAATTTTCTCTTGTATGAAAAACTCAATATGATAAGCACTCTACCCTTTAATTGGGATGACTCAGTGCGAACGAGATTAATCTGAGTATAATTAGGATTTATTCAGAACATATCGTGGTTTAACAAAAAAAAATGTAGAATTTAACCTTAACCTTTTAGAGGTAATGTAAAAAAAAAAAAAATTCTTTAAATTATGATGCAGTCATGCAGAACGGTTGTTTCTTAAGCTATGAGACGTTTTTGTTTGCAAAATTGTAGTTTATAAAAGAGTTAATTTCGGTAATGGTCCTCCAACTATTATGATTTTTTAAAATTAATTTCTGATTTTTAATTTGAACATTATAGGTCTCTTGACTTTCAATTTCTTTCCAATAATGGTCCTTTCATCAATATACGGTTAATTGGAAGGGTTAAATTCGTCATTCCACTTGAATATGTATTATTGACCGTATTTCTTTGTCTTTATACGTGATAAGTCAATGTAATTGCATAATCCCTAAAATCCAGTCTCCTAAATACTCTCCCAGTTGAAGAACAAAAATCCCAAATCCCCATCCTTCAAACCGAACCCTAATCATTGAATTAAAAGAAGTGAGAAGTGAGATTGTGGTGGAAGAACGAAGCGCGTTCATGGATTCTAGAGGTTTAGGTGGCAATACTCGCCCACCAGGTAACTCCATTGTACTCTGTAACATACGTATTGTGCGTTGGATATTGTGCTTTACGACGAATGCTAGAAGTGGGGACCAAATTAAGGCTTTTGTTTTGTGTTCTATTGTATACGTGTTAGTTGTATATTTTGCTTCGTTTACATACATGTGGGGACCATTTTGTGTTTCAAAATTACGTGGTTTGTCTGGTTATGCATCTGCTGGGACCATTCTTGTGGTTTTTTTTTTAATGCATTTAGTGTAAAGTAGTCCGAAGTGGACCATCTATTGTCTGGTAACTCAAAAGCATATGCATTGCTACTTTTTGTACTCTAAACTGTATTGCATTTTCTCAATGAAGAGGAGTCTGATGCTAGTGAGGAAGAATATGATGGTAGTGATGAGGATTACAATTCAGATGCCTTAGTTAATGTAGATGTGAATGATGATGAAGAATTTGTAAAAAATGTAGATGTGAATGCAGAGTATGGAGGGTTAGTAAATGTAGAAGGCCAACCCCAACAATTTGAACCTACATTTGGTAATGAAGTCAACTATTCTTATGAAGGAAGCTTGATAGGCAGTGAAGGTGATGCAGTAGGGTTCAAATGGCCAAAGTATTTACAAAACCTTGAGGGTAGTTGTCCTAAATTTGCATTAGGATTAAGATAAGAGGGAGTTTAGAGAAGCTATAACAAATTATGCAATCAAAGAGGGGAATGAAATGAAATATGAAAAAAAAAATGATAAAGTGAGATGTGTGGTGAAGTGTAAGCATGAGAGCTATCCATGGAAGGTTACCCTTAGGTATGATAAAGATGATAAGTTTTGGAAGATAACTATGTTAAATGAAAAACATGATGGTTGTGTAAGGACTAAAAAGAATTCAATGGTGAATTCTACCATTGTTGCAAAAAGATGGAAACAACATATTAAAGGACATTTGGATTGGAAAACAAATGCATTTTTAGAAAAAAGTCTGCACTAATGATCATTACACACTAAGTAAGAAGTAAGCATGGAGGACTTTAGTCAAAGCTAAAGGTGAAATAAGACATGAGGCAGAAGACTACTTTAATAAGATCTGGAGCTACTGTATGGAGATACAAAGAACTAATCCCAAGTGTACTTGTGTAGTGAAGCTGCTGTGAGGCCTGCCAATACCCTACAACATTGGGTAGATAGCTTGTATTTTTTTTTTTAATTTCATAACAGCATAATTAGGTCATAACAGCAGAAAATGACCAAAATGCCCTACTGTGGGGCCTGCCAATCAGGTTAGATAGATTGTACTTTTTTAAAAAAAAAAAAAATTTCATTACAGTCATAATCTATTTGCAGTAGTAAGCAACATAATCTTTTTGCAGTTCAGAAGAAGAACATCAAGTTCCAAGTCAAGAAGAGTAGCTGCTGATCAACCTCAACTCCAGGATGCTGCTACTGTTCAGGTTGCTGATGAACCTCAAGTCCATGCTGCTGTCCAGGTTGCTAATGAACCTGATGTTATTACTCAACCTGCTGTCCAGTTGATTTCTTACCATAACCACAACTACTACCAAAAAGTTGATTTCTTATTCACACACTTGGCATAGAAATTTACAAGCAAGTTCCACTTTTTAAGCCTAAGCCCTAAAGTTCAAACATCCAACATAAGGTTCTTGTTTTCTCTAGGTACATTCACTGCTGCCACTACAAATAACACAATGCATACTACAATGACACCAAATATCCTAATAACCTTACCCTGTCCACCATTGCTTATTTTGACATCAACATTAGCACAAGCTTGTAGCCTTGTTTTCAGTCTTGCAATCTCTTCTTCATTTCGATTGATCCTTCTCAATAGCCCAGGAATAATTCTTCTTAACCTTGCACACATCGGCGGATCATACCACCTCACAAAACCACACATTTGCCTTCCCTACAACAAAAACATAAAGTTTAAAACTTAAAAATTTAAATAATGTTGGAATTAAACAAAATTAACTCAAAAAATTTTGGAATTAAGCTGGAACAAAAATTCCTGCTGATACCAAAAATTAAACTGGAACAAAAATTGCTCACAAAAACTGGAACAAAAATTGATCATACCAAAAATTAAACAAAAAACACAATAAAAATAAACCAAAAAAAATAAATTTACATTCAACTAGAACAAAAACAAAATCTGTACAATACTTAAAACACTCACATTTTCGATTGAGCACTCCCAATACCTTCTACCAGGATTATCATTCATCCAATATGTTTGAAGCTTCAAGTGTCGCCCACATTGACAATTTGGAACGAAAACCAACTCACCATATATGTATTCTTGCCTTCTTGAACATGATGAGCTTTCGCTACTGTACCTTGTAAACATCTCAGAGGAACGCTGATAAGATCACTCAGCAAATGGGGATCTATGGTTAACACTCTAGGGCTTCGACGAGATAAACAACTCTACGGCTAAGACTGAGATAAACAAGGGATTGAGAAATATATATCGCGTATAGAGATAAAGAAATACGATCAATAATACATATTCAAGTGGAATGACGAATTTACCCATTCTAATTAATATAGATGAAATGAGCACTATTGAAAAGAAATTGAAAGTCAAGGGACCTATAATGTCCAAATTAAAAGTCGAGAATTAATTTTGAAAAATCATAATAGTCGGAGGACCATTGCAGGAATTAACTTTTTATAAAATGATCAAAATTCAAAAAAAAAATAAAAAATAAATAAAAAATAAAAAGAATGGTCATCATCTGTAGGGCAAATATGTCTTTTCAACTGGAATGGAGTGCCCCACCTATTCGGTGGAGTGCCGATAAAAATAAACACTTCTGGTCAGTTTAGATCGTTGAACCGACCAACGGAATACAAAAAAAAAAAAAAAAAAACAAAAGGCGATCAATCTCCGTCCGGCCGGCGAATTTTCCGGCAATCCTGCGATCACTTCAAGGTACTATCGCATACCGATCTGTTTTTGTTGTTAATTCGTAATCCAGAAAGTTTACTCCGGCAACATCGTCCTAATAAACGTTAATCGCAAAGTGTTGTCCGATTATCACATTTTTTTTTTCTATTTTTTTTTCTTTCGTTTGATATTCATCAATTATATGTTAAATAATTTTTTAAAAAAATTGGTTTGGGAGGTAGATTTTGCGGAAGGGTTTCTAATTTTGTGTATATTCTGATGGTGCGAAGGTAATCAGTGTAAACCTAGCTAACAGAATGAGTCAGGTGTTCGAAGGATACGAACGGCAATATTGTGAGCTTTCCGCTAATTTAACGAAGAAGTGCACCTCAGCTACTCTCCTTGATGGAGGTTGGGAAATTTTCATTTTTTGTTTTAGCTTTTCTTTATTGCAATGGATTTTCCTTTTCATGGATCTTTTTGTGGAATGTGTTATTGGTTCAAGTGATGATGGATTAGATTGGAATTCTTTGATGAATTATAACAATTGAATTGATTTTAGCTGTATTCTATAATGATTTTTTGAAAGGATATTCTATAATGTTTTAGAATCAAGGATGATAGTACCATATTGGATATGGTGTGCATAGAAGTCAATATAAAAGCAATAATTCTTTGTGGAAAGAAGAAGATTGGTACACATAATTACTCCCACTTTGTTAGGACATGAGAATATTCTCATACAAATAATGGATATTGATTGGTTCACTCCAACAAAGAGTTAATTTGTTACTGAGGTTGGTAAAGCAAGTTGAGATGATCAATTGTGAACTTGCTTAGTGCTTTTACAACAGATTGTTGGAATTAGTAAAAGGCGCTAATCTGTGCAGAAAACTTGGGCTGAAGTTGATGTTACTTGGTTTGATTGGCAACTTACATGTGTTTTTTTTTTTTTTTTTTTTTTTAAATTTATTACAGAGTATTATTTTTTAACTTTGCTAGCTCTATGCTGCCTTCAAGATTTGAGAATTTATCAATTGTTTGTGTTATCCCCTCATCAGGATGATTCTTACTAATGTATTAAATGATTGCAGCTGGAATTTCTAACTTTGTCAAGTGAATTAGTTTGTAACAAGATTAAAGGGGGAGACAATGCAAACAGATACATGTGGGACAGTGGGATTTTAACTGTTGTGCATAAATGGGGCATCAATTCCTATCCATATATACCTTCCTGTTTCAGACTCCATTACGATTGTCTTTATGAGATTCTACCTATTAAAAAAATTCTCAATGTGATTCTGTTATTCAATATTTATTTATTGTCAGTTAACAGCAGCTATCTTGTTTCTTAAAAATTGCAGAGCAAAAGAAGCAGAAAATTTCCGAAGTAAAAAATGGAATGGAAGATGCGGAGGCATTGGTAATGTAGAAAATCTTTTTGGTGGGCAGTTTCTTTTTGCTTCCGATATCAATGTTTTGTCAATGGTCTTTGTCTTGATTTGTGCAGATCCGCAAAATGGATCTTGAGGCTAGGAGTTTACCACCAAATGCAAAAGCCATGCTTCTTGCAAAGTTAAGAGAATATAAAAGTGATTTGAACAATTTGAAAACTGAAGTGAAAAGAATTACATCAGATAATGCTAACCAAGCCTCAAGGGATGAGTTGTTGGAATCTGGGATGGCAGATGCTAAGATGGTATCACCTTGTTCTCCATTTATGATATATGCTCTCATATGATTTTGTTCATGAAACAGCTCTTTTTAATTTTTTAAAAAATTTTAAAATACATTTACATGATTTCATTTTTATTCTGTAAGGACTCGTTTCAATTAAAGCTTTATCCCCCATGTGACAGTATTCTGCTTGCCAATTGCCATTCCACATAAGATAATCTTTATGCTCTATTTACCCTGACCTTGTTTCCAACATCAATTGATCAGCTTTGTTGTTATTCTTAGTTTTGATTCTTTTAAACAGCAGTTTAATTGTCAAAGATAACTAGATAAGTCAGTTTCAAACAGCTGTATAACTGTCAAAGATAAGTTAGTTTCTCTATGAAAAGCTCACATTTGTTGTATTCTATCGGGCTGCTTTATTTCCTGGATAAAATGTGGCATGGATTAATGTGGTTATGTAGCACAGCATGCATGCACTGATATACTGATTCTTGACTTCATACATATACTAATTTGAATATTTATGTGCAATGGTATAGGTATCTGCTGATCAAAGGCAAAGGTTGATGATGTCAACTGAGAGATTAAACAAGTCCAGTGATAGAATCAGAGAAGGCCGGAAAGTTATGCTGGAAACCGAAGAACTTGGAGTTTCAATTCTTCAAGATCTGCACCAACAACGTCAGTCTCTCCTGCATGCACATGATACGGTCTGTCTTAACAGTCAACCATCTCTCTTTAATTTGTAATTGTTCTTTTGACCAGCTAACATTAGTGAAGTTTTTAGCTCCTCTAAAATGCAAAGATAAGATTAAAAGACAACTTGTCTCTGATTCACAGCTTCATGGGGTGGATGACAATATCAGCAGGAGCAAGAAGATACTGACCACAATGTCAAGAAGGATGAACAGGAACAAATGGATCATCGGTTCAATCATTGCTGTCCTAGTGGTTGCAATCATATTGATTGTTTATTTCAAGCTTAGCCATTAGTTGAAGTGTCCCAGGCTTTGGATATGGCTGACATATGTTGTTTTCTTTTTTTGATTTCTGGTTCTCTGGTGTCCTTGTGTGGAATTTGAAACTGCATTTCTATGTTTGCAATTCTTATATAATGGTAAAATGCCTCGTCTTGTGTTATACACTTGAACATTGTGGTCAATATCTTTGAAAATTGCTTTATCAAATACTTCTCTTGGATCAGTGCCTTGCCTACAATGTCTGATTACTGCTTGAGTGGTAAAGCTATGCTGAGAATGAAAACAGGCTTGGAAATTTGATAATGTTGAGCTGATTAGTGGCATAAGAAGTCCTTGGCAAATTATACTATGAACTATGGATTAATGTTCAGTTTTTAAGTTTTCATTTTTTGTGTACTGAAAGTTTATTATTTGGTATTATACAAAAAATGAACATTTAATGTATTAAAAATAATTTTTAATATATTAAAAATGAATTTTATGTTAGTGATTTACTTTAGAAGGTGGATCATAGTTCATGGTAATCTTTCAATTTTTTTTTTTTTTGAAAATGATGAATAGTTCATGGTATAATGATTGATGAATCCTTCTATAAGGTCATCGCTTAGACACTTGTGCCTTGTTGCCAAAGAGTATAATAACACAATTTTTAGGAGTTAATATCTGATTTGGTCCCTCGACTATGAAGATTTTACCGAGTTGGTCCTCGACTTTTAATTTTACACAATAAAGTCCTTGAGACTTTATAATCCTTACAGAATTCATCTGTTAGTTGGTTGTCAAAAGTGAGGGTAAAATTGTAATCTGATAAGTTTATTCCTCACTTATCCTCTTCTCTATAGTTGTACAGCTCTGCTATATCTCCATCTCTCGTTGGTGACCTAGTGGAGAAAAGAAATATTGGCGACTTACCAATAGATTTAGGCTGCTTGAATTTTTCATTAATGTAGCCTAAGGTTGTCCCAACACACTCTAATAATCATCATGTCGTTTTCCCCAACTCGATCCATCCCCTCTCACCGTCCCAACTCTTTGTTATCTCCATCTTCTTTTGCTCAATCTCTTTCTTGTTCTATGCAATCGCGTGCCTCCTCTCGGCTCGACTCCATTGATGATATTCCTCCTCCATCTTTGAATCTCTTATCTTCTCCTTCTATCTACTCAGCTTCTTTCTTTCATGATCCACATACACCCAATACCCACCCCATAACTCGTATGTTTTGATCCAAGTCCTATCCCTTGGTCAGATTTAATGGTTCTCATTCTGTGCTCCGCTCTTGCGACGACGACAACGATGATGAACAAGACAATGTCAAACGAAAATATTCTGGATTTTTTTAATGCTACCATTATGACGACACTTTTTCAGTGTAAAATTGAAGCCACAATGAGAAAATGAACTCTAGCCAGACGTCCCCTATCTTGATGATTAAAGAAGATGCGGGGGATTGAACCCCATGTCTCTCACACACAAAGCGGGCACTTTACCATTTAAGCTACTTCCTCACTACTATTTTTGCAGTCAAAATACAATCTATATATAATTTAGGAAGAGGTATTTTAAAAAAATGTCAAAACACTCTTATCAGAGCCAAGTTTCAATCCTGGGACTTGTGGGTTATGGGCCCACCACACTTCCGCTGCGCCACTCTAATTTTGCTTTAGTGTAACATGATTGAACCCCATGTCTCTCACACACAAAGCGGGCGCTTTACCATTTAAGCTACTTCCCCTACTATTGTTTTTGTAGCAAAATACAATCTATATATAATCTAGGAAGAAGTATTTTAAAAAATGTCAAAAAACCCTTATTAGAGCTAGGTTTCAATCCTAGAACCTGTGGGTTATGGGCCCACCACGCTTCCGCTATGCCACTCTAATTTTGCTTTAATGTAACATGAATGCAGATATATCATGTACGTTAATTTTTCCTCAACTAGGGTTTTTCCTGAGTTTTTTTAGTGAGGTTTTTAACAACGCATGAGTATGATGTATAGATGTAGTAATGTTTTTGGGTAGTGTTGTAAATAAACATATGTGGACATTACGTACTAGACAAATTATTGTCTCTCTATTTACTCTATTGCATTCTTGAGATGTAAACGATACAACTATTCACGGGAGAATAGGTCCCATTTTACAACACTTCACATATATAAAAATATAAGAAAAATTCACAATGTGAATTGAAACAGTAAAAATATGAACTACAGATCGAAAAGAATAACAAATATTTTGTAAATATAATAATAGTTCTCCTCCCACAAAGTCCAATGCGTAGAAGACAAAATTATAACAGTAGATGATTAAATTGAGTAAAAATTGTAAAGTCAGGGACTTAGAAGTCGAGGACCGACCAGGTAAAATCGGGTATTAACTCCAATTTCTAGATAAGACCGAATAGTCAATTAACTTCTGTTAGTTGGAGGCGCTTGAGTCATGCACCCTTTAAGAAAAGTGTTACTTGAACGTCTCCATGCATATACCCAAAAAATCACTTTTCTTGTGTATGATGTTTACCACTTTGTTAAATTTGCAACTTTGTGCAATCTTATATGATAGAGTTTAAAGATTACAATAATTGTTATTCTGACAGTATAATTGCAAGTCAATTGCAATCGGTCCTTTTTGTCATTTTTATTCCTTTTGTTGACTTTTCTAACACTTTTGTACATTTTTTTTCCTTTTAATAATAAATGTTATTATTTTTTGAAGCCAATAACTTAATTCATTAAATCATGTGAAAGCACAATCTTGGCATAGCCCCCACTACGGACCTGGGCAAATATTTGGGCGTCCCAGCCATCCATGGACGGGTGACCTGCGCAACACATGCGGACCTACTCTACAGGATTTCTAACAGGCTCGAGGGTTGGAAAGCAAAGACCTTGTCTCTCGCGGGACGAGTTGTGCTCGCAAAGTCGGTTTTAAATGCCATCCTGGCATATACTATGCAGACAACGCTACTACCGAAAAGCCTCTGTCACGAGATTGAAAAACGGACAAGGAAATTCATATGGGTTAGTAATGGAACAGAAAACAAGATGAGCCTCGCGAATTGGGATTTGGTTACGACAGCAAAAGACGACGGCGGGCTGGGACTTAAACGACTAGGGGAGATGAATACGGCCTACATGGCCAAGCTAGGGTGGCGTTTGCTTACGGAAGCTGACACTCTTTGGGCTCGGACAATTAACTCAAAGTATAGGAAAACAGGAGACTTACATGGGGCCCAACAAAGCCGACGAAGGATCTCTAATGCTTGGAGGGGAATATCGCAGGCCTGACCAATAATGGAGAAAGGCTTGACATGCACCGTCCGAAGCGAAAATACCACAAAGTTCTGGATGGATAAGTGGCTTAGTCCGGAACCGCTTTACAGCCAACTCAAAGTACTGCTCCCCCTGCCCGAGCTCTATGCGACGGTAAGGGAATATTGGGATGAGGCTCGAGGCTGGAAGTGGGAAGCGTTGGCGAATGCTCTTCCAGTTGACGCGCAGGAGAAGCTACCTGGATATGTTCTAACTATGGACAGTGTGGAAGATAGAATAAGCTGGGAGCTTGACCTGAGCGGGAAGTTCTCGATCCAATCTATGTACAGCACACTCGTGAAAGGTCCTAATAACAGTGAAGATGAGGATTGGCATACAATTTGGCGGATACGCGTGCCGGCTAGGCTCTGCATGTTCCTCTGGCTAGTCCGACACCGAAAAATTCTCACAAATGCAGAACGAACCAAGCGACACCTAACTAATGACCCTTTCTGTTTTGTTTGTGTAGGTCAGGTAAAGAACTTAGACCACCTCTTCAGAGGTTGCCCAGCAGCGAAGGCGGTTTGGAATTCCACGTTGCCTAGAAGAACTCTCAGTCACCTGTCAACTTTACTTTGGAGGCAATGGCTCTTAGTCAACATCAAGGGAGAAGCAAGGCTAGGGTTCAATGACAACTGGCCGTCGATGTTCTGCGCTCGCCTTTGGTGGATTTGGCGATGGAGAAACGAAGGAGTGTTTAATCAAAAACACTTGCCGTTGGCTAGCAAGTTAGAGTGGCTCACGATGTACGACGTGGAGGTGAAGGCCGCATTCGAGAAACACTTAAATCCTGAGATCGGACGAAACCTAGAAACAATCGCACATATTGGCTGGACGAAGCCACCGAGTGGATGACTGAAGCTTAACGTGGATGGCAGCTGTAACAAGAATGGCATGGCAGGCTGCAGAGGTTTGATCAGAGATGAGCATGGAGACTGGATACGAGGTTTCACGGCAAACATTAGCCGGTGCCAACCGCTGGAGGCAGAGGCATGGGGGATTTATCATGGTTTTCACATGGCAAAAGTCTGTGGGGTTTCCAACCTCGTGGTTGAATGCGACTCCAAAAGCCTGATTGATAAGCTAGGCAGGGCTAACGGAGGAGACGAAGCAGAGTGTAATGTTATCTGGAGATGTTTGAACTTGATCACCTTCTTCCAGAAGGTTGAGTTTGTGCATGTGTTAAGAGAAGGTAACCAAGTGGCAGATCATCTGGCAAAGGCGACGCTTGACCATCAGATTGGCTTCCGAGTCATCGCCGAAGCGCCTCCGAGTGTTGATTCTTTAGTTAGACAAGATAAACTGGGAGCAACGTTTCCCAGGCGCATGTAATCTTTCGGGCTCAACCCTCCTACCTGATGTAAAAAAAAAAAAAATTAAATCATGTGAAAGACAATTTTCAAGGAACATTGGAGGGGCATCTAACAACTCTCCACAACCTGACTCTGAAAAGACCTCCCTGGCAACAGTGTGGGCGGCACAATTCGCAGATCGTCTAACAAAACGGAATTGCACATCGTGTATGAGTGATGCCAATTCTTTAATATCCTCTACTAAAAGACCAAACGAAGAATTAAAAGAGGAAGATGTAAGGGAATAAAAAACAGTTTGGGAGTCCATTTCTACATCAATATTGCCCATTCCAGTATCCTTAATCCAACTCAGAGCTTCACGTAAACTGACTGCCTCAGCCTCATTAACAGTGAAGACACTTGTTAATCGCATATTCTTCGCAGCCATGAATGTGCCATCATGATCCCGCGGCACCCAACCCAAGCCCATAGAACTCGTTGATGTGTTTAGAGCAGCATCTGTATTGAGCTTCAGCCTCCCAACCGCTGGCCGTGACCATCTATCATCCCCAGTGCAAGGATTCCCAGTTTGTTGCGTCACATTCGCGTGCTGCCAATTCTGCCAGAAGTTTATAGCCATGCGTAGCATTACATCCATGTCAAACACCACCCCTTGCCAAACATGTTCGTTCCTACTACACCAGATTCCCCAACAGGCCATGGTAAACTGAGCAAAATATTCACCATGCAAGACTTTAATTAAACCAAAGAACCAATCAGTGATGTTACCATTGACAACTCCAACCGATGGTATGCCTAAAATGCTCCAAATACAACGGCCTCCGGACATTGTGCAAAAATATGGCCTGCTGACTCAGGTTGTCCCCTGCACATATGACATAACAAGCACAATGGATGTTTTAGTCTGTAAGGCATCTCTCGTAGGCAAGTAAGAGGAACCCAACTGCCAGCAAAAATGCTTTACTTTCGGTGGCACATCCAAATTCCAGATACGGGACCATGGACGTTCATCATGTAGCATTTCAGTCAAATGCTTATAACACGATTTGACTGTATATCTTCCCTTCTGGTCGTAGTACCAATACCACGAGTCCTGTGGTTTACGCAGGGAAATGGGGATGTTCATAATCAAATTTGCATCCCTCGGGTAAAAAATATGGAAAATGCGAGCCATATCCCAACCTGTACCTTGCGCATTAAAAAGACTTGAAACCGGGGCTTCAACAAGTGCTTCACTTAGAGGGGTTTGGACATACGCCCCTTCTGCTACGGGTAGCCATGCATGCCTTCCTATCGATGTGTCATTGCCATTCCCAATACTACGCCTGCATCCATCTCGTAGCACAGGTTGTACCTCCAAGAGCCTCCTCCAAATATAGGACGGGTTACTCCCCGGAGCTGCATCAAAATAGGAACAATTATCATAGTATCTGGCCTTATAAACCCTTGCTGTTAGGGAGCTTGGTTTGGTGATTAGTCTCCAAGCCTGCTTACTAAGAAGTGCCAAATTCATCTCTCACAGTTTCCGAAAACCCATCCCACCTACTGATTTCAGAGTTGCCAAACCACCCCACGACCTCCATCTCATGCCCTTGCCATTCCCTACTGACCCCGTCCACCAGTACTCATTCATCAGAGTTTCGATCTCCTTACACAGGCCCAGGGGTAAAAGAAAGACCATCATTGCATAAAATGACATTGCCTGGATTACATTTTTCAACAAGACCTCTCGGCCTGCCCGTGAGAGGAACTTTGCGTTCCAACTCCGTACCTTAGCCAAAATTCGGTCCTTCAAAAAGCCCAGAATCTGTTTCTTCCTCCTTCCAACTAGCGATGGTAGGCCTAGGTACTTCCTAGTAGCGTCTCCTTCTGCAACTCCGAGCGTCCCACACACCTGACTTCGGGTAGTGTGACCCACATTCGCACTAAAACATGCCATGGACTTATCAAAATTTATCTGCTTGCCCAATGCTTTCGAATAGGTATCCAGGACACCCGCATACAGTCACTCTCTTGCGGATTGGCCCAGAAGAACAAGAAGCAGTCGTCGGCGAAAAGAAGGTGTGATATTGGTGGAGCTCCCCGAGCAACCCGGATCCCATGTAAATTACCTGAGCTCATTTGCCTGTCAATTAGCACACTCAGACCCTCTGTAACCAAAAGGAAGAGGTACGGTGACAACAGATCCCCTTGCAGTAGAACACGGCCCGGGACTATAGGCCCTAACTGCTGGTGCTCATGTAAAATATGGTATTGCACTGAACGAACTATCTCCATGAGGATGTCTATCCAATGTCTCACAGACCCCATTTTCTCCATCAAGGCCTCCAAGAAACCCCATTCCACCTGATCATAGGCCTTGCTCATGTCCACCTTCAAGGCAACCACCCCATCCCTTCCCTGAGTTTTCCTTCGCAGATAATGATGGGCTTCATAAGCTATCATTATATTATCTGTTATCAACCGACCCGGGATAAAAGCACTCTGAGCTAGTGAAATCAACTTATCCAGTAGATGCTTCAGCCTATTAGCACAGACTTTGGCAGCAATCTTATAGACCACGTTACACAATGCAATTGACCTTAAATCCTTCATGGTCTCCGGGTTCACCTTCTTGGGTATGAGTACAATGTACGTAGCATTAGCCTTGGTCGGTAGTGTAGTAGTCTGAAAGAACTCACGACAAAAAATAGTAACTGCTTCCCCTACTATGTCCCAATACTGCTGAAAAAACCCCGGTCCAAAGCCATCAGGCCCAGGGGACTTGTCAGTAGAGCTGTCAATACGAGCTGGCGGGGCGGGCTAAAAAGACCGCCAAGAATACGGGCCTAGGTAGGGGCAGCCTACCCCGCCCCACCTTAGGCCCGCGGGCCCTGCCAAAGCCCGCCTGTTTTTTTTTTTTTTTTTTTTTTTTTTAAATCATGTGTGAATTGTCCATAAAATCTAAACTCTAATGTGACTATGTTAATAACTTAATTGCTATCTACTTAAAACACTTATTCATAAGAAAATAACATAAATTCGTTCATCACATTATGACAACAATGACACCAATAGGGGTAAGTATAATCACCGAAAAACTGATAACCGAACCGACCGATAATTTTCGTTATCGATCGATTATCGGTTATAAGGCAAAAAAAAATTCGATTATTCGACTATTCAGTTATTTATCGCGGTTACCGAATAACCGACACTACATATATATATATATATATATATATATATATATATATATATATATATATATATATATAACTAAAAAAAAAAAAAGAAAGAAAGAGGCGGGCTAGCCCGTCCCGCCAAGCCCACGGGCTAAGCGGGGCGGGCAAAAAAGTCCGTTTTTAAAACGGGCTTCAAAAACACGAGCTCCCCCGCCCTTTTGGCAGGCGGGGCGGGAAAGCCCGACGGGCTAAACCCATTTTGACGGCTCTACTTGTCAGGATGCATCTGAAAGACTGCCGCTCGCACCTCCTCCAAACTAACGGGACTTAGCAGGGCATCATTATCCAACTAAGTGATCCTAGCTGCCACATATTCTAGCACGTCTGTCATATCTCCCTGGTCTGTAGCGAACAGATCCTGGAAATAACTCATCATAACCTGACTGACTTGATCCTCCCTTTCCACCCAAATTTCATGATCATCTTTTAACTTTGTGATCCTGTTCCGGCGCTTCGTGGTTTTAACCGAGTTATGGAAAAAACTTACTGTTCACATCACCCCCTCTATACCAGTGCTCCTTCGCCCGTTGCTTCCAATATTGATGATGCTGCTCTAGCAGATACAATAGTTCATGTTCAGTATTACCATACTCCACCATGCTATCCTCATCTCGGCGGATCCTCAAAAGATCCATCCTGCTCTTACAAACTTCAATTTTCCGGGCAAACTCTCTGTTATACACCTTCCCCCAACGCCATATATCTCGGCTGCAGGACTCAATTTGTGCTAACACATCAAACCCCACCGTTCTATCCCATGTATGTGCAACTATCTCCCGGCATTTATCCTCCCGCAACCACATATTGTCAAACAAAAAACGCTTTCTACGACCAGAATGCACAGTAAAAATCGGGGTTACCAACAAGGGTAGATGATCACTGTAAGGACTTACCAAAGAGCATGCAGTAGCCCCCTCGAACATAGATAGCCAATTTTCCGTCACTAGAATCCTGTCTAGCTTCTCCTCAACCATATTACTCATACCACGAGAACGTACCCAAGTAAACTGGTGACCACTGAACGGGAAGTACTCCAGCCCACAGTCGGCAACCGCTTCTCGAAAACCATTAATTTTCCACGGTGGATGGGGAGCTCGCCCTCGCTTCTCCAATTGATGCATGAGATCGTTGAAATCCCCTATTGGTAGGATATATCCCGACTGACCTAGGTTCTTATCCCTTTTTATACGGTTCGTTCCCTTTGCCCGAGCGTTGTAATGAGGAGTCGGTCGGTACCGTTCGTCCGAGCAGCTTTGTGAATGATTTTTTTTGGGGACGCTCGGGTTCGACCGGATAATTCCTTTCCCGACCAATGTTATGCTCGACCGCCATACCTTTGCTCTATATGGGAGTGCTTTTAATAAAGTGGAGGCTGCGTGTAACACATGCCGATAGGCCGGAGGCTATTTCCGGCGAGAGGCTATAAATATCCACGGCGGATGAGGAGAATGGGACTTTTGGAACGATCTATAGGCTACTTACAGAGCTGCCCGACCGCAGTCAGTCGGCCCTCGAAGTGGTCATCTAGATTGAATTAGGTCACCCTTTTAATAAATATACTTCTTCTTATTCATACCTTCATTTTATATACAGTACGTACACCGCTTACACGTGGACATTAGTACTATCACCCATAATCACCCACGGCATAGTATTCTGTCCGCCTAACTGTCGTAACAACTGCCAAGCCTCCCTTCTCCTTGTTGTCTCCGGGTAGCCATAATACCCAGTAAACCGCCATGTTGGACTTCCTACATCCAGGGCCAGTGTTGCATCAATGAAATTGCTTGTAAAAGACTGTATTTGCAAATCAACCATACTAGACCACAACAATGCTAACCCCCCGTATGTCTAACTGCATCAACTGCAAATAAATTATCAAACCCCAACTGCACACGTATCACTTCCATCCTCTGCTTATCCACGAAAGTTTCAATCAAGAAAACCACCTTCGGCCTCTTCGTGCGGACATGATCCGCCAGCACTTGAATTGCCGTTGGGTTGCCAAACCCACGACAATTCCATGTTAGGAGACTCATAATTCTAGGCGGGCTTGCATTGCAAGTCCCGCCTTTTGCCCGTTTTTTGGATCCTGTGTATCACAATCCATGTCACTCCTACTCCCAATATCGGAAGAACTGTCTGCCTCCACCTGCTTCCTCTTTGCTTCGCCCACCACAACTGCCGGCGTAGCCTCAGTGCTTCCATCAACTTCCGGAGATTCATTAACAGCAAAACCCGGAGCCCTCCACTCTTTCCGTTCAGAGTCCATCTCCGGCGCTACCCATCCCTGCCCGACTGTTGGCAGATTCCGACGTGAACCAGCTCGTAACCATGCACCATAAGGCTTCTCTGCCTTCATATCAAACCCGAGTGCCAACTTAGGGCATACTCTATCCCCGTGGCCGATGATCCTGCAAATAAAGCAGAAGGTGGGCAGTCTCTCATAACGGAAGTCAACAAACGCCCATGCCCCATTATCCTTCTTAAGCTTCATCTGCTTCTTTATCGGTCTCGTGATGTCAATGTTCACACGTACCCGGTAATATGCCCTCATCGATCCTCCAAAATTCTTCTCATCTGTTTCGACTAGGGCTCCCAAGAAAGAACCAATGGCCGAGACAACACCAACTGAACATTAGCCAGCAGGGAGTGCGTGAATTTGCACCCAAAAATCAGCATGGTCCAGAGAAACTGTCTCCAGTTCACTACCCGACTCTAGCCTCCGCATGACGACTAGACTCTACTCATATGTCCATGGCCCATCGGCAAGGACTCTGGTAAGATCAGACTCGTGGTAGAATAGAATTAGAAAACGTTGTGGCTGGAGCTGACGCATAGTAACGCCCATCGCTGGCTGCCACACAGCCGCCATAGTATCCTGGAAGAAAAGAAACTTAACCGGCTTGTTCGTTACAACCCTCCCAACAGCGTAGTAACTTGTTTCACTGCTCCGATCATCCACCTGGACATTCGGAACCTCCTGCAAGACTTCTTCATCGTCGACGTCGGCTAACGTCAGATTTGCACACAAACTCGCTACATCATCGTTGTTAACAGCAGCCATGAATAACCAGAAAACGGCGGAAAACCCTAGAACGAAAGGGAGAAGATTCGCGAATAGGCGAGAGAAAAAGAGTATTAAAATCACACAACAAATTGAAGTGGGAAACTATCTCGCAATGTCCTTGTTTTATAATAATAATAATAATAATAATAATAATAATAATAATAATAATTATTATTATTATTATTATTATTATTATTATATTCTGAAGGGATTAAAGAAAACATAGTGAATTGTAAATATGTTGATACCGAGGTATGATTTATTTTTTAAAGTGAGAATTTAAGGGATAAAGATAGTCCAAGAGGGGGTACTCATCCTTGTTAGCATGGATACTCCAAATTAGTGTTATGCAAGTTGTCTTTCACTTGGTAGTTTTAAACTAGTTGAGGATGTCTCTTAAGTAGAGGGTCCAAGCCAACACATTGGCGACCTTGGATGAGTGAAAGACGCAAACCAAGGAGTAAATATGAAAGTATATGACTAACTAGTCTAATTCCAATATACGATCTTACATCACTTCTAAAAAATTTTATCAAAATTATAAAGTGATACTTAAATTTGAGTCAGACCTCAACTCTTGAATTAATTATAGTAATGAGTTAAATTCACTTTTGGTCCTACATTTATTGTGCATTGGACATATTTTGCCCGCTTTTATTAATTTTGCCACATTTTGTCCAGACTTTATAAAAGTTGGACACTTTTAGCCCAACGTAACTTTTGGCGTTAAGCAGCTGTGAAGTAGAAAGGCAATTCCGTCATTTCATGTCAATTTTTTCATCAGCCTTCAAGTTCGGAGCTTCACCATCAACATCTTCACGCCAAGGCTTGTCATCGATTCTGCTGCTGCTGTCGAGGTGAACCCAACCACACTGCCAATCTGCTATTGCTGCTGTTCGCCGGAGCCCATGGAGGTTCGCCAGATCTGCCGCTTCGTCGCCGGTTCCCTTGCTATTTGTCAACGTTGAGAGAAGAGATGATGGAGGGAGGGGTGGTTTGGCTGGTGGTTGCTTGTGCTTTGCCGCCATCGCCGCAGCTGCGCTCAGCCACCCTTCCCTGTTTTCCCGGCGAAGCTTGGCAGTAGAAGCTTATTGATGGTGGTAATGTTGAGTTTGGCTAATGACGATTATAGAAAGTGATGATTATTATGGCTAATAATTCTTGATGGAGGTTAATTGTTGTCTGCAAAGCCTTCAAAGCATCTTTGTCTTCTCCGCCTTTCCTCCACCTAATCGCTGCTCACCAACCGCCTCTCTCCCTCCTCGCACTCCGCCCCTCCCACCGCCACTCTCATGGTGGCGAAGGCGGCTGATCTTCCTCCACGTTTTCGACACATCCCTCAGCCACTAGTTCCGATTCCCTCTCTCTTTCCTCCCCTTCCGCTCTCACTACCCAATTACTTCCTCCCACGACCTCCTCTAGATCTACCTCTGGGCCAAAAACCCTACCTAGAACCTAACCCCGCCACCCCACAACCACAATACCAAGACTCTCGCCGTCTGTAACCCTCTCCTCCGCGATTACAAGGTCCTGCCTCAGCTTGGCTCCGCTTGGTGCCACCATGGTTTCGTCCTCGTCGGCTCGCCCAATCAAGTCCTTGTGCTCACTGAGCTCGGCTCCGCTTGGTGCCGCCACGGCTTCGTCCTTGTCGGCTCGCCCAATCAAGTCCTTGTGCTCACTGAGCTCACCGCCATCTATTTCAGTTCCGCATCCGCTCCCAACAACTGGCAGAAATTTTCCTCCAACTTGTGCCGACGCCGCGGAGCCCAGTCGTGATCTCTAACACCATTCTTGCTCTCTGAGATGTGGGATCGCCGTGGCTTGGGTCTGCAAATGGAAGATGGCTTGAGTCTGCGATGTGTGATCTCCATGAGACATACCACCCCTCTTTTTCAATGGGAAGATGGCTTGGGTCTGCAAATGGTGAAGAACAACCCGGTCAACTTAAAAATAGAGACTCTGAAGAATAGCACTGAAAAAGACAAAAATGACATTCAATCTCATGGAGGCTTAACATCAATTTAGACTGTGGACTAAAACTGTCCAACTTTTATTAAGTCTGGGCAAAAATAATAAAAATGAATAAAATGTGTCCAACGAGCAATAAATATAGGACCAAAAATGGATTTAACTTCTTTTTTTGTAATAGAATTAAGATCTTGACTTGAGTTGAAATTAATTTTTGTAATAGAGTTAAGCTCTTGACTTGGGCACCACGAAATCGGTGCTTATGTTACTTAAACAACAACATATTATTGTATTTGAGGATATTTTAGACTAATAAAATATTTGAGAACAAAAAAATAAAATAAAAATGCTATTATATTCAAAGGACCAAATGGGGAATAAGCTCTAAAGGATGAAGTTTTGACCATTTGAATTTTAGTATGTGATATCAACCTATAGTCAGACTTGCTTGTTTATTACATTGATAATCAAATAAAAAGAAAAAAAAAAATAATCATGGCTATAGTCAATTACAACAACATGAATCAACCCCCTATTTCAGTTCAGAAATTACAATAACCAAGTGAATTGGGCATCTAATATCTCAATTGGCATGCTCTTGGGCACCAAATCTCTCAGTTACAATGCAGGATCAACTTATTTGCCACTAACCGGATACCGGCATTTTGTTGATAGTCATATGCATCCAAGGAGATGTAGGCATCCACACAAGTTCCTGTAGTGATCAAGGCATCCAGCTCTTCAACATCAAATCTGCTAAACACAAGCTTTTGCGTGTTTGAAGCTTCTTTCTGATATATCTCTGTAGCCCAGTGCACGGTATCGCCATTTACTACAGTGGGTATGCTGCATATATTTTACGTAAAATGCAAGAAAGGATTAGAAACATGTGTGTTTTCTTTGTATACTCGAAGCAAGGGGTGCGTGCATTCTAAGAAGCATTAAACTTGATGTGGCACACTGGTTAGTTTACGGTAGGCAACGAAACAAAAACTTGAAAAGAGTGAGACCAGCAAAAATGCAGCATTTAAGTAGCTCAAACATGAGATTAGACTAAACTAATAACATAAGGAAAGGGAGTCAATTAAGTTAACCATATGCCTTTGAATGCACAGATGCAGAGAAAAATGTTGGGTGAAAAATTAAGAAATTTATGCATCTTTACATGTAGGTGAGTAGGTCTAGTTTGCATGAGCCTATTTTCAGCTTATCCACCACCACTTCTAAAGAACTTACTCTAACATTTTACTGTGTTTGGATAGGCTTGTGAAAAGAAGCATATGGCTTTTGAAAGCTTTATTTTACCATATCTTCATATGCTATTTCGAGTTGCTTAAGAGAATAAGCTGAAAAGAGCTTACTCAAAAGTTTTTAACTTATTAAGTAGCACTTATTGACAAGTTCTATCTCAAAAGTTTAACTAGTTATAGAAAGAGGATAGCAAACATTTACTATTAGCATTATTTCGCACATATATAATGAAGGAATGAAAGAAAGGAGTAACTTACTTAAACCGGATAGTAGGGAATTTCATGAAACCAGGCTTTCTGGTTACTAGAGGCCTCCACTCAGAGCTGCTACCGGAATCCACAGACAGATTCTGAGCGTGTTTATCAATCGCATCCAGGATCCGACATAGGCTTTCTGATGCATTCACAACAAAGCTCAACCTTGGGCGACCAGCAGGGCCAAGAAATTTAGTGCTAATTCCAAAGCGCACTTTCATGCGTTTACAACAAATTTGTAACTCGGCATGATTATGCAATATTTTTATCTTTTGCATTCCATAATAGGAGGATGGGGCAAGGGCAACAGATATAGAAGGCATTGAGATCTCATCTGGTTCTAAGAAGGTGCAACTACTGGAACCCACACTTTCAGTTGCTGTAGAAGACACTTGTGAAGGTGAATCAGATTCTTCTTCATCCATGTCATCTGACTCGAGGAATTCTTTTTCCATTTCATCACTGAGTGGGCCCATATTGAAAGGGTCTGGCCTGGCAGCAACAGATTCAACATGATCCGAAAGGTCTTCAATCCTGCCTAAAGTCGTAGATGATAACATTCTACGGTTTTTGGTACTGCGGTTTTCCATTGGTGGGATCCCATTTTCTATCATCAGACTCGAAGAAGATGTGATTGCATTCAAGTCTGCTCCCCCCAGAGAAGCTTTGCCATTGCTATGATTTCTTGTTGTAGTATTAGGTGAAACATTTCCTATCATCAGACTTGAAGAAGGTGTGTTTGGATTCAAGCCTGCTCCTTCAAGAGAAGCTTTGTCATTGCTATGATTCCTTGTTGTACTATTAGGTGAAACATTTCCTATCATCAGACTTGAAGAAGGTGTGTTTGGATTCAAGCCTGCTCCTTCCATAGAAGCTTTGCCATTGCTACGACTTCTTGTTGTACTATTAGGTGAAACCCAAGTATTTTCTGGAGAATTGTCAAGGAGGCTGGATTCCTGCAGGTAAGCAACATTTCAGAGATCTCAGTCTAATAATCTACAAGACCATGTTCCAGAACTAATAATTGAAGTTTGAGGTAAGAAAAAAAAATACCAAAAACAGGACAGTTGCACAGCACTTGAGCACTTCAAAATTCATCCGAACATCATCTAAGCTCCTGAAATATAGCAACAAAAACTTTAGTGAAAGCATAGATCTACCAGTTATATAGAACAGCATGTGATAACAAAGGAGAAGCAACAATCTGTCAATGTTATATGCGCTCAGACAGACCAGTTATTTTAATTTTCTTCATTGTGAAAGGTAAATGGCATTTGCAGATTTTCCATATGCCAACAAAAAATTAACAAGATAGGAGGGTAATCTGTTTAACAGATCCAACTGAGGATATAAAGAGGTAAGTGACGCAATATCAGAACGACTATTCTTCATCTACGTTATACACTAATATGAACTGTGTCCCAAAGAATAAATCTTGGACACCCTAATCACACTCTCATAGGTCAAATGAAAATGTAAATGAAAAAGATAAAAATTCTTATGATACATGTGTACACACTACAAAAATATATAAACCAAACACAGATCATATTCAGGAGCAAGAATGCACTCTCACCTATGGGTTTGTTCTCCAAGACCAAAATAAGTAGCAAGAGTGGCCATCTGCAATTAGGATAAAGGTAAATCAGCATTTGAACAAGATGGAACTCTTGAGTTAGATTTGATTTAAGATCCAAAAATACAAATACTTGAAGTTCATCCAGATGAAAATGAGGGAAAAGTAACTTAATTGAAACCTCTGTAAGGAATATGCATGGCAGTTTTTGGCAAATAATAACTAATCAAATTTGATGTTAAAAATAACTCTCAATTTAGTAGCTACATGAGGTGTTTTCATGTGTATTAAAGCACATAAGTACAAGTGCTAAAATTTTTAAAATTTGTGGTCTTACCATTAACAAAGTATCTCAATATAAGAAATTCCAATTTCTATTAGGCCTTTGGTACCCAGAAGGCCACTTTTCATATCCTAACCCAGATCAAGCAACTAGGGAGGTACAACTTCAATTAGACAAGGAGATGAATGCATTTTTAATAGCAACAACATGTACTTCAGCTTGTCAAAAACAAAGGATTTACAATAAGCTAATTTTGAGCTTTTGATAGACTGAATACATATCTATTCATCCAAATACGGTGTAAGCCAGAAGTTTCCTTTAACCAAATCAAAATAAATTGCTTACAGTTTTGGCGTCAAGATGGAGAAATATTATTATACCTTCATGTTACCCGCTCTCCTGCCAAACCTCTGAGTCAACAACACAAGTGAGTCCATTGTTCCCTTAGGCTCTGGTGCTGGCCTATCTATAGCAGCAAATGCTTCCCGAATTCGTGGACAATCAAACTTCAGTATATTATGCCCAGCCCATATTCTCCCTATGCAAATAACCAATAGATTAAAATATAATACAAAAAGACTTGAATATCACAAACACATAAGCGCCAGAGAGACTTCCAAATCACAAAACAGAACATCAAATGACACGATCAGACACTCATATCAACACGTTAAAGACTACCGTCAAAGACTCAAACCACTACACTTTCATCCAAATTCTAAAATCAGTATCAATTAAAGACTTATACACTCTAAACTATCTATAATATCTATTCAACAAATCATGCAAACCCTGATTTGGAATGGGACTCGAACCTGATACCTTCCTTACGGAAAGAAATCAAACCACAAGGACTAGCTTAACTGATATCAGCAGCTTCACCAAACTCAAACATTTATCAGCTTAAATTTAAGAACCTCATTTAGGCACACGCTAGGAAATTGGGCGGAGAGGGGGAGGGGATTACCGTGGAGGAAATCGTAGACTTTGTCGGCGATATCGGCGAAAGCAGGGGCAGAAGCGACGGCGTCTTTGGTAATGCCATTGCAGCGAACAGAGAGCGTGGTGATGAGGGAGGGATCAGCGGGTCGGATCAGAGTGGAGTAGCTTTCCAGCTCGACGAGCTTCCTGGGGCAAACCAGTATCCCTCCGAACTCCAGGAGCGCGAAGCCCTGCCCGGGTCGGGTCGGGATCGTCGTCTCCACATCGAAGAAGGCTATCTCCGTCGCGTCCTCTACCGCCATCATCATTCGAAGCTCCAAAAACTTAGATTAAGAAGAGAAGAAAACCTGAGACAAAGAATGAGAAATGGCGCGAAAATGAAGAAATAATCCTGCAACAGTAATGGAGTGTATGTATATATGTATGTATAATGTATTTAACGTATGAGTGTGAAATTGGGTTTTGGTTGCTTTAGAGGGGAGGAGAGGTTTTGGAATTAAACCTACGGAAGAGGGAAACATGTGAAAATGTCGCACACGGAACAACTATACCTTACCTGGAACTGGATGGACTAATTTTCAAGCTTATCCTAACAAGTTTTACTTTTGTTTTGAGAAAATTTCACTTTTGATTCTCATACTATTATAAATAAATTAGTATTTGTCTCCGTGCGATGCACGGAATGAATTTGTTAAAATATTTTAAAAATATTTAGATCGATATATAATTATATAAATTATTATATCGAATATTATATAACGCAATTGATGAATTGAGTTGGATGGATTGTATTTTCTAATGTTATCGTTGCTTGAATTTGATCAAATAATTGCCCAAAATTAATAATCAATGTATAGATGTACAGTGCTGAAACTTTAGATATTTTAAATATCAGTGTCCGGTGAATTATATCTGGGGATCATATTTAATTTTGAGTGAATTATTAATATTCATTACCTTTTCCAATTGGTCTAATTTGTTTTCCATCTTTAAGCAAAATCTTCCTTACGCATTCTATACATAATTTTACATCTTTATATATGAGTATTGTAATGAGGTCCTATAATTTTGAATAAAGTCTAGACAAAAGGAGCAGAACAAAAATCTCTATCTCTATCTCTATATATATTAAAGCAAAATAATTGTTCTAAAAATTTTCCCTCTAAATATAAAAATATTTATTGTATTCATATTAATTTATAAATAGATTCGCGTACCAGGACTATGTGGTCTAATGGTATCCGGGTTGGACTTCCATTTGGAAGGTTGTGAGTTTAAGCCTCAGTGGAGGCGTTATTGGTTCTTTGTGTTTCAGTAGGTTGAGAAAGTAAAAAAAATAAATTCACATACTACAATGTAATAGGGCCAGTAACATTCAAAAAAAATAAATTCACATACTACAATGTAATAGGGCCAGTAACATTCAAAAAAAATAAATTCATGTAATTTAACATGTTGTAATAGGGCCAGTAACATTCAAAAAAAATAAATTCATGTAATTTAACATGTTGAGTAAAAGAAGAATATTATATATATATATATATATATATATATATATATATATGTATAAATTATAATTATTATAGTAATAATAATTCACATAAAGAACGCATACATTCAAAAAAAATAAATTCATGTAATTTAACATGTTGAGTAAAAGAAGAATATTATATATATATATATATATATATATATATATATATATATGTATAAATTATAATTATTATAGTAATAATAATTCACATAAAGAACGCATTTTTCACATACAGAAACGCGAAATCATGCATCACATTAGCCTTAACGAATTATTATTACTATTTACTATAATAATAATAAGGCACAAGTGTCAAATAGACCTATCTATTATTGTGAAGTGTTCAAATTTCACCACGAATTAAATTAAGTGTCAGATAGACCTATCTACTAGCTAAATTTGTTCGATTGACATTTTTCCCATGTTGCTAGCAGGTTGCCTATTTAATTATTAAAAATAAATAAATAAATAAAATTAAAAATTTAAAAAAAATATCAGCCACGGCCGGTGGCTGGTATTCTTTTTTTTTTTTTAATTAATTTTTTATTCAATTTATTTATTTATTTTTAATAATTAGATAGGCAACCTGTAAAAAATGTCAATTGAACAAATTTAGCTGATAAATAGGCTTATTTGACACTTAATTTAGTTCGTGGTGGGAATTGAGCACTTCGCAGTAGTAGATGTGTCTATTTGACACTTGTGCCTAATAATAATAATAATAATAATAATAATAATAATAATAATAATAATAATAATAATAATAATAATAATAATAAGAATAAGAATAATAATAATAATAATAAGAATAATAATAATAATAATAACAATAATAACAATAATAACAATAATAATAATAATAATAATAATAATAATAATAATAATAATAATAGTAATAGTAATATCTCTATATATATTATCTCTATCTCTTCTCTATATCTCTCTCTCTCTCTATATATATATATATATATATATATATATATATATATATATATATAAAAGCAAAATAATTGTCCCAAAAATTTCCCTCCTAATGTGAAAACATTTATTGTATTCATATTAATTTATAAATAGATTCATGTAATTCTAAAAAAATTTCCCTCCAAATGTGAAAACATTTATTGTATTCATACTAATTTATAAATAGATTCATGTAATTCTCAAAATTTTTCCCTCCAAATGTGAAAACATTTATTTTATTCATATTAATTTATAAATAGATTCATGTAATTTCTAAAAATTTTCTCTCAAAATGTGAAAACATTTATTGTATTCATATTAATTTATAAATAGATTCATGTAATTCATGTAATTTAACATGTTGAGTAAAAGAAGAATATAATATTAGTTACTATTATTATTACATATATAGATAGATATATAGATTATAGTAATTATTATAGTAATAATAATTCACATATAGAACAAATTTTTCACATACAGAAACACGGAATCATGCATCCTATTAGCCTTAACGAATTATTATTACTATAATTACTATTTACTATAATAATATTAATTATAATAATAGTAATAATAATAATAATAATAATAATAATAATAATAATAATAATAATAATATAATACTATAATAACGAATTAGCCAATTTATAAATAAATTCATGTAATTCATGTAATTTAACATGTTGAGTAAAAAAAATATTGGTTACTATTATTATTATTATTATTATTATTATTATTATTATTATTATTATTGTTATTATTATTATTCGTTATTCTAGTATAGTATTTTAATTAAATTAAATTATTTAAATTAAATCACCCTATATATATTTAGTATTACAAATGATCATCCTTAATTAAATTAAATCATTTAAATTAAATCAGCCTATATATTAGGTATTACAAATAATCATTCTTAATTAAATTAGATCATTCTTAATTAAATTAAATCATCCTTAATTAAATCATTTAAATTAAATCAGCCTATATATTTAATATTACAAATAATCGTCCTTAATTAAATTAAATTATCCTAAATTAAATTCAATCATCCTTAATTAAATTATTTAAATTAAATCAATCCTTAATACAAAACGTAAAATCAACCTTAATAACAACACAGAAACGCGAAATCATCCTATTAGCCAATTAGGGAAAATGGCGTTTTTCCCCCCTAAGTTATATACTTATAGCACTTTTTCCCCCTCAATTATTTATGTAAGCACATTAGCTCCCTCAATTATTTTAAAAGTGGTGGTTTTTCCCCCTAATATATTAAATTGACATTTCTACCCTTAAAGTAAACATTTTATTTATTTTACTTCTCCAACAAATTATTGCGTATATATAGCGATTACCACGGTTCAGTTCGAACTGAACCAGACACTATAGCAATCGAATTAAAAGTTTTCAGTTATGATTCAAATCTAGAACCCAATATTTGGATTTCAATTTATTAAATTTAAGAATAAAAAAAAAAAAACTGGATCATGAACCGTGAACTGGTGATTCCGGATCCAGTTCGCAATTTTGAACCGTCTTTATTTTAAAATTTTATTTTTTCAGTTCGGAACATGAACCGGCCATTCCGGTCCGCGATTTTAATAAACTCTAAATATCGCGTTTTGATTATAAATTGTAATTGAAATATTTTAGTTTGGTTGTTATAGTATCTATTTGGTTTGAACCAAATTATAGTAATAATTTGTTAGAGAATAAAAATAAATGAAATATTTACTTTAAATATTTATTTTAAGGGTAAATATGTCCACTTAAACAATTCAGGGAGAAAAAGTGCCACTTAAATAATTAAGGGGGAAAAAGTGCTATAAGTATATAACTTATGGGGGAAAAGTGCCCCTTTCCCTAGCCAATTATTATTACTATAATTACTATTACTATTTATAATAATAACTAGTATTTTTATGCGCGATTTGCAAGAAATAAGTGCCCAATATTAGTACTTTATATTAAAATTTTAAATTTATTTAGATTTTAGATATTTAAATTATTTTAAATAATAATAATAATAATGTGAAACATTTTTTATAAATTTTATATTTATATTTTAGAAACTAACATATAATTCTAATAATATAATGTGTATATATTATTATTATTATTATTATTATTATTATTATTATTATTATTATTATTATTATTATTATTATTATTATTGAAGAAGATAAGAAAATATATGATGGATGCATGTGCATGATAACAATAGTGGAAAAGATAACGGAAGTTATAACGGTAGGGGTATGTTCATCCAAAATATTGTACAGTACAACTTTTATAGCATAATGTATCAAAATACTTAACAAAAAAAAGAGATATAAATAAAGGGTATAACCTTCATTCACACTTATTATGTTTTTAGATAATAATAATAATAATAATAATAATAATAATAATAATATTATTATTAATAATAACAATAATAATAATAATAATAATAATAATAATAATAATAATAATAATAATAATAATAATAATAACAACAACAACAACAACGAATTAGCCTTACAAAACGAATTATTCATGTAGTTATTGTTATGATGATAAATCTCTATAGATTTGGTTGGTTCTGTATTCTCGATTGAATCTCCACGTACAACCATAATTAATGGACGGGAGACCATGTTCATCCACTTTGTTCTTCAGGATCATGAGTAAGTCATGTTATATTAATCAATTTTACACTTAATCATGGATTATATGTGTTTCCTAATGTATGTACGCCTTAATAACAATCTTTTTTATTTTTTATTTTTTTTTTCTTTTCAGAGAGAAACATTTACCTTGCACATTTTGTGAGCAATATGTTGATCAACTATTACAGCATGTCAACTACGATAACCCTAATCCAGTTGTTTTACTCATTTAGTTTTGTCGTGCAAAAATGTACAACATAAGAGTGAGTTGCATACGGCTGAAAGTAGAACATATGTTAGTTGTGACACAGTGTGCAAAGCCGATGCAGACGTTGGAATACTAGGTGATGTACACACATCGGAATTTTTGAATGACATTAGAACTTCAGGTGTA